TAATAATAATAATAATAATAATAATAATAATAATAATAATAATAATAATAATAATAATAATAATCGGGCAAACATAATTATTGCACGATGAACCTTTTTGAAAATTAAGTCAGGGAATTTATGTTGCAGACACCTGTTTCCACCAAGAAAGAACCCAAAACACTTGATTTAATTATTATTAAATTTGTTCAGTAAAAGAAAGTGATTGGTTTTACTGTTGGCAATCTGGCTCACTGTCTAACTTATTTTAATTTGTAAATGAAGAGAAAAAAATAATGAAATAAAATAAATAATTATGTCCTTAATAATAATTGTAATGACGTTATTGTGGAAGCGGTTAGGCGCAGCGGGAATGGTTTGGTTTCTTAACCTCGAGATCGGGGTTTTTAATCCTACGCTGTGCATTCCGCTTGCGTCTTTTTGGCAAGGTACTTTTTATCTGCATTGCTTCTCTCCACCCAGAAGTATAAATGGCGGAATTGCCTGCTCCTGCGCTGATTACCAGCAGCAACACTTAGGCATGTGGACTCAAAAGACCAGAGAAAACAAAGCACTTTGTAACCTAAAGAAACAGGCGCTATAAAATATACGAACTAAACTATGGATGTTAATGACGATATTGACTAAAGAAACAGATAATTATACCGAATAATAATCACAGTAACATTGACGATTAGATAATAGCATTAACGACAATTATTACTAACGATAATATTAAAACATGTTTAGTGAAGTATTTTACACAATATAGTCACGTGTGAAATATTTACCGTTTTCGTTGTTTGTGAATTAGCAGACAACACCCACATAAAAGAAGAATAAAGCCTACTCCGCCGGCGGTGCATGTTCCGATAATAATATTTATACTACTATCAGAATCTAGAAACAATAGAGTAAATATGATATATCAATAAAATCAACTACAAAAAATATATGACGTTCAAACAATAAATTTCTCTTTAAAATAATACACAATTAAACATAATACGGTATTATAAGGTAATGTGACGGCGAAATTCGACGTCACAGACGATATATTCGATTACTCACCTGCTGGTGTTATTGCTACTGTAAAGGAGTCAATGGAGAATTGTGGAGGATCGCCACTGTCTTGTATTCTAACTTTTATGGTATACTCGCTTTTGATTGTTGAATCTAAGCGTGTCTTAGTGCATAGTATCGATGTATTATCTGAAAAAAAAATATTTGACTGATTTTAAAATATAGGCGCACTCTATTTTTATCATAAAATGGTTACTAAATGTAAAAGCAAAGGCAGTCGCGTATTCATCATTGAACGAAGAGGAACGATCTGTTAGGAATTAATCGTAATTTGCCTCAATATATTGTGGTAGGGTCAACAGTTCTGTTCTACACCTCCTGCTTAACCTCCCTAGTATAGTTTAACCAGGTACCCATTTATATTCTCGGGCGGTGAGATACAAACACGGTAAAGATCTTGTCCAAGAACACAAGCGAAATTCACAGGGAAGGTTCAAACCTATTAACTATTAATTAAATTTTAAAGTAACCGTACAGTGTGTTATTTTTTTTGGAAAACTAGGTATAGTAAAAAGTAACTATAATAATAATAATAATAATAATAATAATAATAATAATAAATAAATAAATAAATAAATGGATAAGTAAAAAATAAATAAATAAATATATATGTATATATATGTATATATATATATATATGTATATATATGTATATATATACATATATATATAAGTATATACTGTATATGTATATATACATACATATATATTTATACAGTTTTTCCCACCCATCTTAGCTGCATGAACTAAATCAAGGGAATGTGTATTACGTCAATTTAAATAAAACTATTTTTACATGCAATTCAAACACTAAAAAAGTAGGCGTGCATTTTCGATAAAAGATGGCGTGCATTTCGATACTTGGAGTATGTATTATACTATCGTATAATACATACTCCAAGTATGTATTATACGAGAGTATAATACATACTCCAAGTATGTATTATACTATCATAGGCTTCATTATTACCCAGACATACACAACAGGCATTGTATATTTTATATTAGAGTCGAGTCATCACTTGGTGGTAAAAATGCTCTCCATTTAACAGGACACTTGGCTTCATCTGAAGAAATTGCAGGGAAATAAATAGCCCACGCGCCATGGTTAATTTATATAAAACGTTAGTTATGCCTATTTTTGAATACTGTAGTGTGATCCTTTGTTCTGCATCTACATCCCAGTTGGCTCGAATCGATAAAATTCACTCTTTCGATCTTGTTAGATCTCATCATATGTATATGTATAATATGTATATATATGTATATATATATAAGTATATATATATGTATATAAAGTATATATATATATATGTATATACATACATATATATTTATACAGTTTTTACCACCCATCTTAGCTGCATGAACTAAATCAAGAGAAAATATGTATACGTCAATTTAAATAAAACTATTTTTACATGCAATTCAAACATTAAAAAAGTAGGCGTGCATTTTCGATAAAAGATGGCGTGCATTTCGATACTTGGAGTATGTATTATACTATCGTATAATACATACTCCAAGTATGTATTATACGAGAGTATAATACATACTCCAAGTATGTATTATACTATCATAGGCTTCATTATTACCCAGACATACACAACAGGCATTGTATATTTTATATTAGAGTCGAGTCATCACTTGGTGGTAAAAATGCTCTCCATTTAACAGGACACTTGGCTTCATCTGAAGAAATTGCAGGGAAATAAATAGCCCACGCGCCATGGTTAATTTATATAAAACGTTAGTTATGCCTATTTTTGAATACTGTAGTGTGATCCTTTGTTCTGCATCTACATCCCAGTTGGCTCGAATCGATAAAATTCACTCAAAATTCTGTTGGTTTTTTTTTTTTTATGAAACGTTTTAACTATCTTTGTATTCTTGTTACTCCTAATCGTAGATTTTTATTGCATGACATGATGTTTTTTTTTTACAAATGTTTAAATTCCACTCTCAATTGTAATGTTATTAATTACTTTAGTATTAGAGCATGTACTAAACGTCTGCGTAATCGGCCAATTTTTGCTGTACCTTTTAATCGAGTTAACCAATGTAATACGTAGTTTTATTTCTAGGCTTCCTGTACAATACAATTATATTTCTTCACTTGATAATGTTCACATTGATATTCTCTTCCACAGCTACGCCAAATTTCGTTGGATTGTTCTCCAGATGGAGTCTTGAGCTTTTGAGGGTGGTGGTTATTCTACTTGGCGTGGCTGTGGCAGTTAGAGCCTTTTTATCTTCTGTATTGTACTTTTATACTGTACCATTTAATCGTACCTTTATATAAATGTATATGTTTTTATTAGGTAATTTTTTTCTCACTTTTCAGTGGCGATTTTTCGCTGTTGGATAAAGAATTAAATAAATAAATAAATGTTTGATTCCTGACAAAGGCCTCAGTGATGTAATTACTATAATATAATACATACATACATATACATATGACTTAATAACTTAGTATACTCCTACACATCGTAAACTTTTGCACCGGGCCACAAAATACTGCATAGGCCTACCTCTCTCGTTAAGAAATAGACACCCACAGCAACAATAAATATTTTTACAACATACATAACAGATTCATATAGCATTGTTAAAATGGTTATGTTTACGATATCAGATTGATTTTAAATTTTACTGTCTTTATATTTTAAAATGGATGTATATTTGCGAGTAACGAATGCGTCCTTTAAGGGATGAAATATAGTTAACTTAGTATACGCTTACACATCACAAACTTTGGCATCTGGCCACAAAATACTGCATATACAGGCCAACCTCTCTCGTTAAGTAAGATAGACACCCATAATAGCAACAATCAATATGTTTACAACTTCATACACAATAGATTCATACGGTATTGTTAAACTTGTTATGTCTTCAATATCAGATTGATTTTAAATTTTACTGCTTTTATATTTCAAATTTTACTGTTTTTATATTTCAAATTTTATTGTTTTTATATTTCAAATATTACTGTTTTTATATTTTATAATGGATGTATTTGCGAGTAACGAATGTCCTTTAAGGGATGAAATAATATACCGTAGTAAGTCTGAATTTTAGTAAATAAGTTAGAAGTTCAAAATACCATGTTGGTCGATGAGGGCGAAGTAGCTGCAGACACCGTCATCATCGGAGCAAACTAATTCAAATGAGAATGGACCTTGATTAGGTGGAGCGTCAAAGTCTATCGCTTCAATTCGGACCACTTCGTAGGGTGGGGTCGCTGTTTCTGAGACGACAATCTTGCGTTGTATGGTCAATAATGGACTATTGTCATTAACATCTGTCACCTGTATATTCACTGTGGTAGTTGTCGAAAGTGAAGGTGAACCTGAAAAAAATCCCCCCCAAAAAACACATTTATTTTAAAGATAGATGCACATACGCTGTCACAACGCATAATATTTTGTCTAATTTAAACAAATATGCAAATAATAAAAAGAGTACATTATAGACAATTTATTAGATAGAGGTTTCTATCATTTTAATAAATACGCTTTATTAGAAAAGAATAATTATCACTTGAATAAGAAAAAAAGATGGCAACACAATTGAAAACGTCCGTTGTAAATGTTTAAAGGAACTTGAAGTGATTTCCCACTACTGAAAACCATACCTTGGTCTGTTGCTACTATGATAATTATATGACTATCTTTCTCCTCTCTGTCGAGTTCTTCTTTTAAATAGAGACTGCCATTTACAGGATGAATAGCAAACATTTCTGATGAGGTACCGAAGCTGGAAATGTAATACCTTGAAGAGAATATATATTGTAATTATCAATATAAATGTTGAATTTAGTACCAGTGTGATACTGAAACAAATGAATTGGTTACAAAGAAGGAAGATGGGCAAATATTAATG